TGGGTGTGTTAATCTAAATAATTACCTATTAAATTTAAAAATGAACTCCCGGTTTGAATCTTTCGCTACAGATTTGCAATGCGTGATTTTACAAGCGATTACGCAAAGAATTCCTAACGTGAGGATAGATAGACAGCGGTTAGATATACCGGAAAATATTCGCTTGGCGGATCCGCAATTTTATGTGCCATCAGAAGTAGAATTGTTGATAGGAGCTGAGAAATTCTGGGATCTGTTGTGCGTAGGGCAGATCAGGCTGGGTAAGGGGAAACCTATATTGCAAAAAACATTGCTAGGATGGATCGTCGCGGGCAGGATCGATACGATGAGAGGCAGCGACTCGCAAACTAACTGCTATTTAAGTTGCACTCAGGAATTAGACGAGGCGTTACAGAAGTTCTGGCAGCTAGAGAATGTCGCGGAAGAAAAGGGGACGTTAACTGGAAGCTCGCCTTGCGAAGAACATTTCCAGAAAACGCACTGTAGAAATGAGCAGGGTAGATTTGTTGTTAGGTTACCAATAAAGGAAGATGTAGCATGTAACATGGGCAATTCCAAAGATATAGCGATGAAAAGATTTTTGTCCCTGGAAAGGAAATTAAATAAGAATCCTAGTTTAAAGACAGAGTATGTTAAATTCTTAAGAGAGTACGAGGAGTTAGGGCATATGAGAGCTGTTGATATTTCGCAGAATCCTGCAAAAAGAGTGTTTTTGCCACATCAGGCAGTAGTAAAGGAGACCAGTGCGTCTACGAGGGTCAGGGTGGTATTTGATGCGTCTAGCAGGGATAGCAAGGGAATATCGTTGAACGATGCGTTACACAAGGGTCCTATCATACAAAGTGATTTGTTTTCAATAGTGTTAAGATTTCGATGTTTTAGATATGTTTTAAGCGCCGACATAATTAAAATGTATAGGCAGATATTAGTGCACGGGGATCACACGCCTTTGCAAACAATATTGTGGAGAGAAAGTAATGACGGACCGATAATGACATATGAATTAGTAACCTTGACGTACGGTACAAGGCCAGCCTCATTTATAGCCATTAAATGTCTTCAGCAATTAGCGGAGGAGGAAGGAAGTGATTGTCCATTGGCGGCTAGAGCGATACGTGAAGATTTTTACGTGGACGATCTCTTGACAGGTGCTGAGACGGTAGAGGGACTTTTGCAATTAAAAAAGCAGGTAACGGATATATTGAGGAAAGGGGGTCTCGAATTGCATAAGTGGAATAGTAATGTTCCCGGTGTCAGAAAGGTTAGCGATCAAGATAACGAGGAGTTCGTGGAGTTAGAAAAAGAGCAGGAATCAAAGTTATTAGGCATAAGGTGGAATCCTAGGGAAGACACACTACATTTCGTAGCGCCTGTACAAAATAAAGATAGCCGCGTGACTAAGCGGGCAATACTGTCCGAGATATCTAGGCTATTTGATCCGTTGGGGTTAGTCGGCCCGGTAATAACTTTAGCTAAGGTTTTAATGCAGGAGTTGTGGACTTGTAGAATAGGATGGGATGATGCGGTGCCGATGAGGGTGCACAATTCGTGGTTGTTAATCAGATCACAGTTGTCCGCATTGGAGTCGATAAAAATAAACAGATTAGTGACCAAAGGTAGTGGCGCAGGCAAAATTAGTTTACACGGATTTTGTGATGCGAGCGAGCAAGCGTACGGGGCATGCATTTATATAGTGTATAGAGGAACGAATAATGAGAATAGCACAGCCTTAATATGCTCAAAATCTAGAGTTGCGCCGTTAAAGACTTTGTCGTTACCAAGGCTGGAGTTGTCCGGCGCCTTATTGTTAACTAGATTGATGGGCAAAGTGATGACTAGCTTGGGCGTGGAAGTGCATAATAAGTACTACTGGACTGATTCGCAAATTGTATTGGCGTGGATAGGATCACCGGCCAGAAGATGGCAAACGTTCGTAGCTAATAGGATAGGAGAAATACAGAGCAGTTCTGCGCCGTACGAATGGCGACATGTAAAATCGAAAGAAAACCCCGCGGACTTGATATCAAGAGGGTCAACTCCGGGAGTATTACAGAATTCTAGCTTATGGTGGGAGGGTCCTACTTGGCTGAAGAAGGAAAACGAATTTCCTATATATAATAACAAGGATATGGTGATAAATTCTCTACCTGAAAAACGCAATGAAACTGTGACTGCGTTAGCCCGGGTGCGCGAGCCTGTAATAAGTTTTGTTAGATTTTCGTCGTTAGGAAAAATATTGCGCGCCATGGTTTATATATTAAGATTTATACATAATGCGAAGTGTGCCAAAGACATGCGTAGGTTAGGAAATATATTGGTTGAGGAATTAAAAGAAGCGCGAGATGTTCTGGTGGGCTTGATTCAGGCGGAAACGTGGGAGACCGACATCGGAAGGCTAAAGAGCAAGCAAGAGGTTGCAAAGGAATCTAAGCTGGTTGGACTTAAACCATATTTGGACGAACGCGGACTGATAAGGGTGGGAGGCAGACTGGATCATTCATCGTTAACTCAAGAAACAAAGCATCCGTTGCTGCTTCCTGCGAGTCATCACTTTACAAGACTGGTTATTCGGAGCAGGCACGAAGGATTGTTCCATGCTGGGATTAACGCTACTTTAGCATCAGTGAGGGAAGAGTTCTGGCCGATACATGCCAAAAACGAGGTAAAGCAATGCTTGAGGGCTTCTGTAACATGCCGTAAGGCCAATCCTACCCCTATACAACCATTAATGGGGCAATTGCCGGAGGCGCGAGTGAACATCTCCAGACCATTCTCCAAGGTAGGAGTTGATTACTGTGGTCCGCTGTTTGTGCGCGATCGAGTAAAACGTAATAGCAAGCAATACAAGGCTTACGTGGCGATATTCGTATGCATGGCCACTAAAGCCGTGCATATTGAATTGGTGGAGGATATGACGACGGAGGCGTTCATCGGAACTTTGAAGCGGTTCATAGCAAGAAGAGGGTTGCCGTCAGATATATATTCCGACAACGGACGAAACTTCGTGGGTGCAGAGCGTGAGATACGGCAGCTGTTTGACGATGCAGAGTTCAAGAGAAGAATCCATGAAACGACGGCTAAGGAAGGCATATCATGGCATTTTATACCCGCCAGAGCACCACATTTTGGAGGGTTGTGGGAGGCAGCTGTGAAGGCGATGAAACGTCATCTAAAGCGCACAGTTGGAGCCGCATCACTCACCGTTACAGAAATGATAACCGTGTTGAGCCAGACAGAGGCAATTCTAAACTCCAGACCTCTCACTCCAATGTCTGATGATCCTAGGGATCTGGAGGCTTTAACGCCTGGCCATTTTTTAATAGGAAGTGCAATGAAGTCATTACCGCAGTCGGGTGTTCTAGATATACCCATAAATAGATTGTCAAGATGGCAGCATACCGACCAGATTCATCAACGATTGTGGTCCAGATGGTCGAAAGAATATTTGACCACGTGTCAGAAGCGAACAAAATGGAAGATTGATGCCAAATCCCCGATTCGAACTGGGCAGTTAGTGATGATGAAGGAGGACGAAATCATGCCGTGGAGGTGGACTCTAGCTAGAGTATTAGAAGAGCATCGGGGCAAAGACGGAATCGTGCGAGCAGTTACCGTGCGTACGGCTAGAGGAGATTTCAAACGTCCCGTGGTAAAGATGGCACCAATCTCGGAGGAGTAGACCTAAGAATGCCTGCGCAGGGCAAGCTTATTGTATTAGAATTAACCGTTTTCTTTTCTTTTTATTGATTCGTTTATTGTCGATTGATCGTTTGGTTTAAAAAACAGCGAGAATACTTCTGTATGTTAGCTATTAGTTAGTTATTATGTTATGTATGTTAATTATTAATTACCGATGTTCAAAATTACTCGTATAGTAAGATTATGTTGAAAACACGCGTTCATGTTTGTCAAGGGGGGCGGCATGTTGGCACGTCGAGGAATTTTGAATTCGCGGGTATTAGGCAGGTTGGTATGTTTGACGAGTTGGTGTGCGTGATGGATTGGCTGGACTGGTGCATTGGTATGAGTGCAGGATGAGAGAGAGAGAGAGAGAAAGAGAGAGACTTGTGCCGGCCATTGTAAGAGACAGGCGTGCTTGTACCAGATCTAATAAATCGGTTTTCTCAATAACTCAGTAAGTCTTATTTACGCGAGAAGACGGGCGTTGCCTGCAGAGCTCTGCACGGCGGCGATATCGTTAGGGTGTCGAGAAATCGGCATTCATAACACCACGAAAATACAAATTTTATATTATTTTTAATTTAAAATATAATTGTACATTTGATATTACATTTTTTTATCAATAGTAAATAAAACATAACTTGCAAAAAGTATACTTTTCAAAGTCTTTCAAATATATACAGGGTGTCCCATTTTAACTTGGACAGTAAAATATCTCGACAACTGAGCCCAGCAGACAAAAGAACGAAATCTTAAAAGAACCGAGATTTTTTAACAACTAAATTTAAACTTGGTTCTTTTAAGATATAAATCAATTACAAGTGTAACCGCCTCTTTATTACGATCTGGCATAGATGGAAGTAGCCAATTGAAATATCAAAATATTTGTTGCACAATGACGCAACTTTTATAAGAATAATTGCAGACTTAATATTTTTGTATGTATAATTTCTAACGCTGTAGATCCAACTATTCTTCTACGCGTTGAAATGTAAATGCTTTCACGTAAGCGTGAAAAGAATATGTCACCAAATAAAGAATTTTAATAAAATATTATTGAAAAAGATACGCAAATATCGAAAATTATTTGTTTTTACGCGATATACAATGATAATTAAGAAATTACATTACTATACGTATCCATGTAAAAACTAAAAAGCCTAAGAAAGTTGGATATACATATTATTTATCGAAAACGGATGTATGCATAGCATGCAACAGATTATTTGATTCTGTTTTTAACGTGCCTGTACAGCAGATCTGTGGCGACTTGAGTTGCCCATCTATACCACGACACACTCATGGTCGTTGGTGGCGCTGTCCGAGCGGGACAAGTTTTGTAACAGTCGCTTCTCTCCACTCGCACGATCGAGACCGATCACCTCAAACTGCCGTCTGGGCCGTCGAGCGGTTCACGTCTTCCGACAGAAGATAAATTTTTGATCCTGCGGGATTGCATCATCCCGCGCGTGGCCCGGTTGCCGGGCCATTGCATTGTTCAACTCATATTTAGCCTATTGGTTCGACGTGGCCGTGTGCTATAGTGTGGGAACTTATACATTGGAGGACAATTGGTTCGACGTGGCCGTGTCGGCTCAGCGTTTGAGCCGGGAGCCATAGAATAGAAGAAGAAGAAGAAGACCGATCACCTCGACGTTGCGATTGAGATCTAATAAAGGATATCGTTTGTTCTTAAACGTGTCTTGCATCATTCCTGTCTTCGCACATAAACTAGCTACCGGCATAAGAAGTAACTGTGGCACTTCTACCGGGGCTTCTAAGATATTTAAGCCCACAATTGGTGACCCCGACGTGATCGCGCATCCGCGCAGTTCACGAGTGCATTGGCAAGATCAAGGACCCAGATAGAAAAATAATGTCATGTTGCGCTCAGCATGCGGCCATACAGTGACAAAATATGATCGCACAAATGCATACAGATGCGTGCGCATATGCCATTCAGAAATTACTCATGTCATGATGTTAGCAAAATATCTCATATGATAGCATTATGATAACAAAACCTGATATACATGATACACACAATTGTACATCATTTTTGTGCATCTTGTGCTCATGTCATATGCATCACATGCTGATATTTAAAACGGTAATACATTGCAGTTTAAGGATTGCATTCTGAAAATTATATCACATACAATGAGTCTGTATATAATAGTTTAATCCTTTTATATACATTATATTATATACATGTATCTTATATACATTGTTGAGTAGGAAATTACAACTAACAGGTATATTACATGTTACATTGTGTTGGCTGAGTTTTTATAAACAAAAAACATTGATCATCTTGCACGTTATACAAATATTGGTCTTACTACTAGCTAGTAGTAAGACCAATATTTGTATAACGTGCAAGATGATCAACGTTTTTATTTTACAATTTTATGTTCTGTTTCTTTACATTGTTTGATACATGTTTGATCATCTTGCACGTTATACAAATACTGGTCTTACAACTAGTTTACACCGATCGTTTAATACGCGTATCAAACAATGC